CTACTTCTAAAAAATTAGCCATTGATGGACAGAGCTGAAGAAGGATGTAGAACAAAAAAAGATCAGATTTACTGGCCTAAAGGAGACTGGAGAAACCCCAAGAGTATGGCCCCCAGACACCCTTTCAGCTCAGTGGTGAAGTCACTTCCGAGGTTCACTGTTCAGCCGGGGAGTGGACGGCCCCATAAAACCAAATGGGACTAATGAGGCACAGCAGTCCAGGGACAAGGACTAGAAGGCAGAAGGGGACAGGAAAGCTGATGATAGGGAACCCAAGTTTGAGTAAGGATAGTGTTAATGTGCTGTGAGGTTGTTAACCATTGTCATAGTGCAACATGTGTACTAACGGCTTAATGAGAAACTATTTTGTTCTGTAAACCTTCATCTAAAGTAAGAATAGCAGCACAATTGTAAGAGCATAGTTGATGTCACTGAACTGTGCATGTAGAAATTTTTGAAATGGTGTATCTTTGGCTATGTATACTTTCACCAAAAAAAAAAAGGTCGAGAAGGAGAGGGTTGGCATGTCGTGGGGTTGTTAACCAATGTCATAAAACAATATGTGTACTACTGTTCCATGAGAATCTATTTGTTCTGTAAACCTTCACCTGAAGTACAATAAAAAAATTTAAAAAATAAATAAATAAAAAATTAGCCATTGAAAACTCTGTGGAGTAGAGTTCTAGTGTGATACACATGGGGTTGCCATTAGTTGGAATCAGCTCGATGGCATCTGGTTAGTGCTCTTTAAAACGGCTATTGGAAATGAATGACAGGCATAGCTCTTACGGTAGTGTCTTATGCCAACATTCTATAGTTCCAAGTTTTCAAGTTACAAAATGAGCAGGGGTTTTGTTCTATGGCTAGGGCGTCATTTTTGTAATGGACACACAAGTAATGAGTAAACAATGAAACAATGAATCTCAGTGTGACAATCAACAGTACAGTGATACTGGCTGCTTGCTGGGCATGTGGATCTGCTGATGTGGATATGTTCTCCAAGTCAATCAGCCACAAGTAAGATTCATTAAGGGGGCAGGCCACCTCATTGTGCTTGGAACACATGCCTTGTTAAAAAACTCAGAATTAGTACCTTTCGTATCTGCAGACATGTTGTCACCATGTTCCTGAAAAAGTTTGGTGGCAATGAAGACTCACAATTAAAGAGTTATGGGGCAGGATACAGAGTACTGCCCAATCTGGAAGTCATAGCGTCCTGATAGGAAAGACTGGCCTAGCAATCATCAGATGTCAGTTCTCTAGGACTGAAAGCATCCCCAGGCTGGCTTTATACCAAACAGGAAATTCTGTCTTCAATCTTTACTTTATAAGCCTGCTTCTTCTATTACCACTGTGATTTTTTATTCTTAATCCATCTGAAATTTCAATAATAAAACATGAATGAAAAAAAAAAAGAGAAAGTCCAAGAGTATAACTGGCAATGGGCCAAGGAACAGTGAGAAGAAACAGAAGACATAAAGGAAAAGGGAAGTCCAGGGCAAAGACGGGGCATGATTTAAATACTCTAAATTGAACCCAATCTGTTTTTCTCCTATGACCCCTCCTTTGTTTGAAAATTACTATTTTGCAAAGAACTCTGACTTCTGATTCTTTTATAAACAGCATTTCATACATTAAAAGTTTATTCAAGATAATGTGTCAAAACAAATCTTTTAAGTAGTTACAATTAAATTTAGACATAAAGTTTTCATTTTAAATATATACAAATAACTGAGAGATAACCCAGGAAGTACTTTAAGAACGGGGTGCTTTAGCTGAATCGCACTGTGAGTTACACGGATTATAATTTACCAGACCACTTGTTCTTGGAAGCCAAGAGGAATTTTATTCCTAAACCATTATGCTCTGGCCCCACTATAACACAGCCCAAGCCCAGCTCAAAGAAGGTGGCATTTACAGTTATTTTCATCTCTTTCATTGTAGTTTCTGACAAGACCCATTATATACACAGAAAGGACTGGCAGAGGCAGGTGATAAACAAGTAGAAAGAGGAAGAGTTGACTTGGAAACACAGATACAAGCCAAGGAGTTTGTTGAGAAGGTAGAGGCGTAATCCTAAGCAAGCACTACGATTCTGATACATATAATTGTATAGGTACATATACAATCATTTCTTCTAGGTATTACATTTCAGAAGAACTATATATTTTACATAACCTGAAGTATCTAAAGAGGAATCCAGTATGGCACAGGGAAAAAAAAAAAAAAAAGAATACTGAATGATCATTAAAAATAGGAGAAAATAAAATATAAACAAATGGTAAATTGCTGGAGGAAAAATAAGGTTTCTTATGAACACATGCTCTTGTACTAATGAACTAATGATCTCATACTCGATGTCTGCTTTGAATGATTCATTATGCAAAGGCGCAAAGGGTCTAGAGTCTAAGAAAACAATCTCCTCTATCCCCTAAAGATCAGGCAATTACAGCACAGCTGGTATGATAATTTCATTAACAACTCGTAGGCTAGTACACTGGTGCTGCTAATGCCAAATTACAATCAGTCATAAAGACTATTTTTTTAGTTTTCTAATAAATACAGGCTATATTATTTAATTTCTGCTTTATTTTAATTGCATCTTGCCCTATGAGTTGGAATGCAGAATCTAAAGTCTGGGAAGACTTCCCTTACATGGAAATACTGACAGACTGTATAAGAACCAATGACTTTGTGGCTCGAGAGGCATAACAGGAGAGTTAAGATGGTACTACTGTATGAAATATAATCCAAACCCCCCAAAAGCTTTTTCACATTAAAAGAAATACTGTTAAACTCAGCTGGGAGAGGAAAATCATATAACAGACAACTAAGACCCAAGAGAAGGTCTCACGAAAATAGATCCTAACTTCAGGGCTTTATAGCTTTACAAACATAAATCTATTGTTAACATTCCCTGACAGATAATCTGGCCAACTTCGTAACTCTAAACCCAATGTCTCAAACTACAAGGAGTCGAAAAAGAGAACACATTCTGTACATCAATCAAGTTCCATTTTATTAGCTTGTCAGGTAGTTATCAGCAACTTTAAACCTAAGAATTACGGGAGCACAAGCTGCCGGACATCTTTGGGCTCATGGACTATACTCTGCCTACTCCTAAATATCTCTAGGGCACAAAGACTGTCATTTCATTTGGTAATACATTATTGTGCTCAGCTACCTACCTGTCAACAAGTCTACTTTATTTCTTTCCTACTTATCTTGGAAGATCTCAAAACAATCCTATTTTATGTTCTCAGATGAACAAACTTGGTGATACAACAACATTTCTTGTTTAGTTCTTTATTCACTAGACTTGCGTTTATTAACCACAGAGGAGAGTGGAGCTATTTCTAAAATGGCTGTATGTACATCCCTGCCTTTAATCAGGAAGAGTGTCTTCTCTTTAGCCTTCCAGTTCTGTTTTGAGATACAGATCTCAAAGTGACTCTCCTCTGTTATGTGAGTTTCAGTGCACAAAGGGGTTTGTAGGTCTCGAGAGAGAAAGGCTTAGGTTTCTTTAGAGAAGAAATCCTAATTTTCCACAGTCCAAAAACCAAACCAAACCTGCTGCTGTCAAGTGGATTCCGGACTCATAGCGACCCTGTAGGACAGAGAACTGCCCCATAGGGTTTCCAAGGAGGAGATGGTGGATTCAAACTGTCGACCTTTTCTTGGTTAGCAGCTGAGCTCTTAACTACTGCACCACCAGGGCTCCAGTCCCTATATCTTAAATATTCCCTCAATCCATGAAATTGTATATCCTCATTAATATTCATCTCTGATCATTACCCAAGACTGCTACAATCTAGAAAGATTTAAAGAAATATGTATATATATAGAAATAGACAGAAAAGCGAAATATCCATTCATCCTCTACGCATCTATCCATCAAAAATACACAAAAGAAAGGAATTAATCTGATTTGATGTAAAGTAGGCGACTGGCAGCCACTTTTGTCAGATAATTACAAGAACTCTTCTATAAAATCCTGCTCAGAATTGTATCCCGAAAGCAACAAAAGCTCTGTCATATCAGTTCTTCATCTCTCTACTCCCTGTCCTTACAGGAGAGCTAACTCAATGAAGCCTTTCACATCCGTGTGGAAAACTAGAGGTACATTTTCCCCACCAACCTTTAGGCCCACCTCATGTTAAATCAGAAGACTTTTTTTCTCAGTGGGAGAAATACTGTCATCTGAGTAGGAAAATCCTTCATTGTGTTTGACCATCCTGAGCAGGGCAGAATGTTTAGCATCCTGGCTCTTGCCCCATAAAAGTCAACAGTGGCCCCAGTTGTTGCGACCACTGAAAATATCCCAATACTCTTCAAAACCTCCCTTTGGATTGCAGTATTGCCCGTGATGAAGGCTGAGATTCACCCAAGTCACGCTGATAATTTTAAAAGCTTTCCTGATATACAAAAGGGAGAAGCTGATATTCTTGAACATAAATATGCTAAACAAATCATTCTTCTAAATTTAACAAAACCAATAAAAAATATTGTTGGAGTAGTCTGAGGAGTTGTATTTTCATTTATCCACGCTGTCAGTAAAGAATGGAGTCTGCTTATTAGGCAAAGAGAACTACTTCACAGTCCCACAGTCCAGCCTGTTGCAGACATAGAAAACAGAAGAACTGGAATCTGCCAGCACTTTCTGCTCAAGAAAAGGTCGGCACTCCAAATTAGAATTCTGAGGGGCAGAAAGTTGAAGACCACGTGTAACACTTTAGAAAAAGCTTGGCTACAACACTGAGTGCAAATGTACAGGCCGGAATGCCAAAGGACAGAGGTTGAGGGGAATTGTGAAGGAAAGTGGGAAGGGAGAGAGAAGGGAGTCAGGGACCGAGCAAATTGTGGAAAGCAACCTGAAATCCTAACTCACTACTGCCTCAATTCTAATTCCAATTACATATCTAAAGAGAACTGCAGAAATTTAGTGAAGGGTTCAGTTAAGATTCCACCCACACTGCAGGAAGTTATAATACACATCTAACCTTTGCTGGTTTTAGCTGGTTCTGAGGACATATTCCCAGTCTTCTTCTTTTTTCTTGGGACTGGAACATATTTCCGGTCAAATGTAACAGGACTATATTGAGGGAGGCTGTTGGACTTTTTTTCAAATTCTTCATCCAGCTTTGTTGAGCTAATAAAAGGGGAAAAATCAATCAGCACATGATATAAATATTTCAACAGAAAGTGATACAAGATATATTTTAAGATACACTATTTGATAACAGTGTCCCTTAGAATTAGAACACTGTCAATTCTGTGCAACGAGAAAAAAACAATAACAACAACACATCTTTTCAGAAAACGCTTCAGAAGCTTTACCAACATAGTTTTCTTAGTAAACCCACATGAGAGGTTATGATATTGCCTTAGAAAAGTACACTGTGGAGAACAGTTTTTTTAAAAAATTTTTCCCATACAAAAATTTATATGTACATTATTATGTGACTCTAATTGCTTCCCCCATACTGTAACAGCACACTCTTCCTTTCTACCTGATTCTCCACGTCTGTTCAACCAGCTCCTAACCCTCTCTGCCTTCCCATCTCACCTCCGGACAGAAGCTGCCTGTTTAGTCTCTTGTATCTACTTGAGCTAAGAGGCACACTCCTCATGAGTATCACTTTATGTCCCACAGTCCAGTCCAATCCCTGTCTGAAGAGTTGGCCTCGGAAACTGTTTTAGTTCTGGGCTAATACAGAATCCAGGGGCCGTGCTTTCCGGGGTTCCTCCAGTCTCAGTCAGACCATTAAGTCTGGTCTCCTTACTAGAATTTGAGTTCTGCACCCCACCTTTCTGCTGCGCCATCGGGGACTCTTTGTTGTGTTCCCTGTCAGGGCGGTCATTGGTGGTAGCTGGGCACCATCTACTTCTTCTGGTCTCAGGCTGATGAAGTCTCTGGTTTATGTGGCCCTTTCTGTCTCTTGGCCTAATACTTTCCTTGTGTCTTTGGTGTTTTTCAGTCTCCTTTACTCCAGGTGATTGGGACCAACTGATGCATCTTAGATGGCCGCTTGCAAGCTTTTAAGACCCCAGACACCACTCACCAAAGTAGGATGTAGAACATTTTCTTAATAAGCTTTGTTATGCCAGCTGACCTAGATGACCCCTGAAAGCTTGGTCCCCAGACCCTTACCCCTGCTACTCTGCCCCTCAAAGTGTTTGATTGTATTCAGGAAACTTCTTAGCTTTGGTTTAGTCCAGTTGTGCTGACTTCTCCTGTAGTGTGTGCTGTCCTTCCCTTCACCTAAGATAATTCTTATCTAGTTAGTAAATAACCCTCAACCTCCGTCCCCACCCTTGTAACCATCAAAGAATGTTTTCTGTGTTTAAACCTTTTCTCGAGCTCTTATACTAGTAGTCTTATACAATATTTGTCCTTCTGTGACTGACTAAATTCACTCAGCATAATGACCTCCAGCTTCCTCTATGTTATAAGATGTTTCACGGCTTCATCGTTGGAGAACAGAATATTTTTGATGTGGAGAACTGGCAATTCTCTCCACTGGTATGGGAATTCTTCCTAAAGCACAGCACAAAGCACTGGCTATTTAGACAGTGGCTCACACTAGAGATTCATATCTATGTATATACTGGCAAGCTCAGACACATGTAGCTTGGCTATTTTGTAGGATCAGATTTAAAAGAAGACTAGTGGCTAGTATTTGATTAAAAAACACATAGACACGAACAGAATGCAAAGAGAATTTTTGAGTATTAGAAAAAAAATTCTGGATGGCTGACCTGGATGAGGATAAAACATTGAATGAGCAAAGCAAAGTCAGTTTTCAATGAGCACGTTGGCAGAGAGGCAGCACTGCTTTATGTCAAACTACAGATGACTTCAGAAATGCCACCATCAAAGCTGGGAAATCCTTGGGGTTGTTCTGATGGTCTCTATGGCTCCCACACAACAATGGCGGCTCGCCTGCTGGATCCTAGGCTGGCTGCTGGCTTTCACTTAGTGAAACTTATTAACTAAGAGGCAACCCAGGCAGATGGAGTAGCTGCAGAAGAATCACTATGCTTGGTAGATGGAAAATGGAGGGTGAAATGGGAAGAGGTGAACAGCTTTGTCTGCTGACTTATAGGAAGCTAATGTGTCAAGCTGCTAGCTAAGGGACATCTTGACATATTTCTACCTAAAGCTGTTCCTGGTTTTGGAGGTATGTGCAAGAGCTGTGGACCATCAGCACCATCAACAGAAAAGGCCCATCACTGAGTTCTATTAAAGCAGCAGGGGTAGGTGGTGGGAGGGGTGGCAGAAGTGGTATGTGAGGAATGCTCCTTACTTAATAAAACCTTCTTTTCTCATTCAGTTAAAGAAAATGTTTATACTGATGGAAAATCAGGTACTAGCTGATGCTAATCAGATACGCTCAGAAAGCTATCTCTAAGTTATGAATATAGTCTGAATACCCAAAAGAAACATATTAAAATGCAAGATATAACTGTTTAGGTTCTTTGGTATATGTTTTTATGTCCTTAAAAGGGAATGAGAAGAATAATCTATCTTTTTCTTGGATAGACAGTTGCCATCGAGTCAATTCTGACTCAGCTACCCTATAGGACAGAGTATAACTGCCCCATAGAGTTTCCAAGGAGCGCCTGGTGGATTTGAACTGCCAACCTTTTGGTTAACAGCTGTAGCTCTTAACCACTACACCACCAGGGTTTCCATTTTTCGTGAAGAGGTCTGTACAATTATAACCGCCAATACTGGGTGAGTTTTTCTTGGCTACAGTTAACCAGACAGGTAGCACATTTTCTGAAATAAAAAGGTTTAAAATGCTCATCTAGAAATCTCAGAGAAGACTGACAGGAATTGGAATTTCTCAATGCTCAGGCACTATGTTGTTTTCTTCTAAACAAGGCAAACCCAATAGCTAGGCCACTATTTAAAAAGGGTAGGGGGGTAGATCCCTGAGGTTTACTGTTGATTTAAGCCTATGCAAAAGTACACTATCTCAGTTACATACATGTGGCTTCCTCAGAAACAAAAAATACAAACAAACCCAACTCATACACCAAACTCTTTTCAGAAACAGCTTGTTTTACTTTTCTTGTTCCTCAAAAAAGGCTGGTGAAAAACCTCTCTCTCACAACTTCTACAGTTCCTAATGAAGTGGTGGGAAACTTTCTGTTGGGAAGCTGTTATGGATTGAACTGTGTCCCCAAAAATGTGTGCCAACTTGCTAGGCCATGATTCCTAGTATTGTGTGATTGTCCACCATTTTGTGATCTGATATGATTTTCCTATGTGTTGTAAATCCTAACCTCTATGATGTTAATGAGGCAGGACTCAATCTAGAGGATTAGGCTGTATCTTGAGTCAATCTCTCTTGAGATATAAAAGAGAGTAGCAAGCAGAGAGGAGAGGGACCTCATACCACCAAGAAAGAAGCACCGGGAATGGAGTGCATCCTTTGGACTTGAGGTCCCTGCACTGAAAAGCTCTTAGACCGGGGAAGACTGATTGACAAGGACCTTCCCCTAGAACCGACAGACAGAAAGCCTTCCCCAGGAGCTGGTGCCCTGAATTCAGACTTCTAGCCTCCTAAACTGTGAAAGAATAAACTTCTATTTTTCCAAGCCATCCACTTGTGGTATTTCTGTTATAGACAGCAGCACTAGATAACTAAGACAGAAGCCTTAACGCCTGCGGTCTTCCCCTGGAATCCATGTTGTCTGCAGAGGGACCTGCCACTCTCTTGATGTGGAGACCTATACGGCATTGGCAGTTCTTCTAGAAGACACAGAGTATTGGCTCAGATGCTCAAGAGTTCCTTTTTAGGAAATTCTGCATTTGAAAGTGTGATTTGACATGACAAATGTGAGGATTTTCATGTCACTGTTTACGCATAATGTAAGCAAAACTATCAGAACTATTTTGGATTTTTCAAAATACTAGGGAGAAGGAAAGATATAAAATTATATCATCAGAATATAAATAATCTCAAGGAATCATCATCATGAGAAATAATTTCTACCCTCTCACTCTGTGATAACCTAGAGCTTTAGAATTAAACAGACTTGAAAGCACTGTAACTTCCAAGGGAAAAAAATTCTATTATTCTATAAACAGACATGGAAATATTTATGAATAAACCAAACACAATACACCCAATGCATAAAATCTGCATACTTTTAAACACACGAAAAAATATAGAGAATATAAAATGTACTTATTTCTATTCAATGTATTCTTTTCAAATTGGGCTAATGAGAAATTTCAAAGGATTTCCAAAACAGTATAACTGAATATGCAGATACTTTCCTCAACAATGTAAAGTATCGGACCTCCTAGCTTACTAAGAAAACGCTTTATATTAAGATTGCTATTATGAGTCTTTGGCATAATATTAAAAACGAAATAATTCTTACTGATTTTATCCTAATGTATGCCATTGCTGACTACTGCGTTTCAATATATTAATTCAGCTCCATGCTGAGAGAATATTCAACCCAACATTATTTATCTTGGAGCAACTGATAAGATTTAAACAAAATAAGGATAGAGATAAAGGCATAATTTTATTTTCTACACACTCTTCAGTTGTCATATTATCCTATAAACATATGTACATACATTTAGAAATATTAAGTATATACAGTATGTAAAATGGGCAAGATGTCAACAATTTATATAACATTCATCCTCAGCTTCAGATGGGAAAATGCATCTTGGAGATTTTAAACAAGTTACAATGTCATGCCACTAATACGTAGTGAACCTTGATTCAGACTCGGGCCTAAGGCTAAGGTCTACATATTTTCCACTATACCTAAACTGTGAATGATATTTTCTCCCACACAACTGGGTTAACAGGAGGAATCATGTGATACACTTGATTTGTGCATTCCCTAGTGTTCTTAATGTAGTGTTAAATGAATACTCAAAAAATAAGCAGTGACTTATATTTATCTTGAAAATTCTATCACATTTGGGGTCTGTGCAGTATAGCTCACAGGCACTTACCCAAGGAGAGAATCTTCCTTTGTCTTAGTCTTCTTGAACTTTTTGCTCCCACTGGTCCCACTCTGGTTAAATGTCCAACTTTCTTCATTCCAACACCCTTCATGATCAGATGAGTTTCCTTTTCCTGAGCTTCGTTTTCCTAAAGAAAATCAAGAGAACGGATGTGCTTGGTCTATTGGGTTGAGGGGAAATCAACTTAGTTGCTTCCCAAGTGAACTTGACCCCTTGGGCTTCATTTGTAGGACTCTAGCTGTCACTATTCCAGAGTCTTCCACAAGTGATTCATGCTGGACCATTCAATGATGGAACATGCAAAAAAATTCACTTACAGCCTCTGAGATCAGCTGTCTCGTCATAACCCAACAGGTACTGTGTGACTTTAGAGACAGACTTATTACTGTCAGCTTTTCCATTTGAGAATCAGCCAAAGGTGTGACAGCTCTTTGCTGGGGGGCACTATTAATTCTGCTTTCTCAAAGACCTACTGGAACGACATCCCTGGAGAACTATGTACTACCAAGTAGCTTCAGCCAGGGCTTGTTGAACCTACAACTCTCACATCTGTTATTACAATTTAGCTTGCCAAGAGGTAGTCACCTAGCCAGATGATATATTTTTAGATAGATGACTTTACATGAAACACTCTGTGGAATAAAGGTATGCATATCAACTGCCTTCTGGATGCTAGAATATTTCAAAGAATTCTTCACTTTAAATATCTCTTTGATTACCCGATGGAGAGGGCCAGGTAACCTATTTCCTTCTGTACCTTCAAGGCAAGATTTTGCCAAACATACCTGCCTGATTCAGGAAATCCTTTCCATCAGTTTTAAAAGCCAGATTAAAATCTCCAATCATTCAACACTGATCTTTCTAAATAGATAGCAAGCCCATATCAGTAAAAAAAAAATTGAATTTTGAATACCTGTTTCCTGAGAACTACCTACAAAAGAATACAAATGCTCCTCAATGATGCTAGAAAACATGTAAGTAAAATGACAAATGTATACGATCTATGAACCATAAAGAACTATACAAATGTAAGATATTATTTTGATACCATATTGCTCTTTATGGCTGTTCTCATAATGGGTTAAAAGAGAAACCCAGCTTGGTCTTGTATTCCCTTCTCAGGTCTGTAGAATGACTTACCTCTGTCAACATTAGCTCGCAGAGAGGTGAGCATGCCCTCAGACACCAGGGTTTTGTAAAGAGCACCTTTGCAAGACCTCTCGGATTTCCTGGAGCCACAAGTCTCTGTTTTTCTGTGACAGTCACTGTCCTCAGGTTTGGCCTGTCCCGATAAGCTGGGTGGTAGTGCATCCTCCATGGGGGTCAACGGTTCTGCTTTTATACCCTCTGGCACCTCACCAGAAATGCTCTTGCTGGCAGAAAGACTAATGAAATCTGGAAGTTTTGACTCTTTGGTAGTGTCTGAGAGTTTCTCCTTTGACATTTTCTTCTCTCTTGATTTCACTTTTTTCTTTGGTGGCTTGGCATCCAAAAGGCTTCCCTTGCCACTTGAGGATGTGCGGACCTTCCTGCGAGGGGCTTCTCCAAGTTTCTCAATGCCCCAGTCTCCCTTTGCAACGGCTTCAATGGTGTATATGACACTCTCGATGTCAGACTCAGAAGACTGCCTCTTCTTGCAAGTCTTCTTGGGTGTGGACTTATCATTTCCATGTCGATCCATTTTGCTTTTCTTCTTCTTCTTTTTTAGTTTTTCAGGTTTGTTTAATGCTGTGGGATCCTCAATGATCATAATTCCATGAGGATGGCACATGTGATCCTTTCTACTGGGAACATCACTTATTATTATCTTGCTACTGGCAGAGTAAGAAAAATCAGGGAAAAGACTACACTTTTGATCTTCTTCTAGTTCTTCCTTTTTTATTTCTTTGGGATCTTCCATTTTTATAGCCATTATATTATCCACTTGCAGTTCCTCAAAATTTCTTAAGTCCTTAGAATCTCTTACATTTTCCTTAGCTGATTTTTCAAATTCTGCCTCCTTCTGTAAATTGCCTTCATCCGTTTTCTCCACTTTTATTTCTCTTTCTTCCTTTCCCTTCTCCAGTTCTTTAATTCTTCCACCATCTGATTCTTTTGTTTTTATTTGCTTTGATTCTTCTATTTTCACCCCCTCTGATGCCAGGCACATCTAAACAGTTAAAACAAAAATGGGAGAAAACAAAACAAAAAAATCCTTATTCTTCCATGCCAGAAATTAGTTTAAGCTTCTTAACTATATATCCTTCTTAAAAATTATCAAAATAAACTTCAAACTTTATAATAATGAGTCCACTTCTGCAAAAGAACATAAATGATTCAAATTAATAAAAAGTTTTAGGTAGTATGAAATATTTATTAAACTCTAGATAAGCATATGCCAGAATTCTCATTGTCCAGCTTATCAGAAATTATTTCCATGAAAGCAAGATTTGTTGGAATGAGATGGGATATAGAGTTAAAAGACCCGCGTTTGAGTCTTAGTTTTGTTATTTACTAGCTTTGTGATCTATACTGAGTCATTTCACTCCTCTGAGACCTCTGTCTCCTTTGTAGAATAGAGCAATTGCGATCTGCTTCCAAAGGTCACAGCCTTGAAAACCCAATATGAAGCAATTCCAGTGTGCACACATAGTGTTGCCATGAATTGGAATCCACTCCACAGAAACTGGTTTGGTTTTAAGTGAGAAGATATACATATGATAATGCTTAGTGATATCATCCTAAAACTATGTTCAGATATTTGCCTTTTCCTTTTTCCTGGAAAATGAAAAGAACAACAATTTCTACCTACTGACTTGGAATTAGAGATAACAAGATTATTCATTAAACAACTACAGAACACATCAGTTAATGAAAGAAAACAGTATAGGTCCACAAATGCTTACCTACAACCTGAAAACCACAAAAGCTCTGAAAATTTAAAGGTTTTCATACTCATTTGGTGACAAACTTGATCTGAACTCATCTTGCTATAAATCCTGACCCGAAGCTATTTAATGTCTTTATCTTACTATGTAACTATCTATATGTTTTTGCTATCGGACTAGTCATGTATTTGAACATGCACTCGCAGATTACATACTATAAGATACAAATACTGTACCATTTCTCTAAAACATAAAAAATTCTGAACACCAAAACACATCTGGTCCCAAGGGATTTCGTGAAGGACTTGAAGTAATTTAAACTATTACCTAAAACTCCTAAAATTTCACATTAAGTAAGACATTAAAGGGGAAACTTGCCATCTTCTCTCCAGCTTCCAGGTTTCTTGAAACTGCAATCTAAAGCTATTTTCTAGAAGGGAAAATTGTAGCTTATTTTAAAACTCATTTTTAATAGTTGGGTTTTCAATTCATAAACTCTCAGTGCATGACTCCCAAGAGCCAGCACCCTGGAGGACACCAAAGATACAATCATCAGTAAAGGCCTGTCGCTGCCCTTGAGGAATTCACCAGGAGGTTAATGATGCTGATTAGGCCCAGGGCAGTGCAGGAATTCTTTGCCACAGTTATCTGAGGTTGCATTAACAACTTAGAGGACAGAGTATTGAGGATTGCTGTCCCAACACAAAATCAAGCACATCTATAGGAAAGGGATCCATTTTTTTAAAAATCACCATATTATCAAATGGCAAGTTGTCAGAGATTGCTAACATCCATAAAATTCAATTTTTAAATGGATAATACATTGAATTAAATAGCAGATACTCTTTTACTTCATTTTCTCCCTTAGTACCTTCAGTGAATCACAAATCCTTTTGTGAGAATTATGCTATGATTACTAAGTCTGGGAAGAAACTGGAAAGGGGATGGGAAGAGGAAGATAGTGCAAGTTTTAAAAAAATGAACATGGCAAGAGTATCCGGCCCTTCAGATCATTCACAGGAAAGATCTGACATATTAAGTGTTCATGATGGAGCTATCTTTTTTGGAAACTCATGTAAGTTAACTTTTTAGACCCCAACAAGGGGCTACAAGGACTGAGACTTCCCCTCTATTGGACCTAACAGGAAATAGGATAGAAGAAAAATTCTGGAACACTGACACATTTAGTTTTCCTTGCCATGTTTTATTCTCATGGAAGAATTTGCTGTTTTTACATCAATTCTGAAATAATTTTTATTTTCCTATCTGTTATACTAGTCCTTCATGAATAACTATACCATTTGGGGAAAGGAACACACTAGTTATAGAAAGAGAGTTAGAAAGGCAGTCTCAAAGTAAAATTTATGGTTTTTCAACTACTATCACTCTGAGGCTTTTTAATAAGTCATTTAAGGACCTTTTGCCATACAGGTGTTGGTTTTCATAGTGGGGCATACTGACAGTTTGCATTTGTACAGGTTCATCTTAGCAAACCTAATAATACTTTGCAAACTTTAATCTCTGCCCAAACATATTTCAATCACCCCGATGTGATTCTAAAGTTAGGCATGAAATGAACAAATGCGGCATTCACTATGGGGACGTGTTCTGGGAAATAGTGTAGTATTTCTTGTGCAGGTAATTACCAAGCACTAGTCATGCTTTACTTCCTAGTTTCACGGGCTTAAAAGTTTTTTCACAAATGGAGTATGTTAATCCTAAATTGTAAGAAAAACAATTACATTGCTGCAAAGGAAAGTACAAAAATAAAACAATCTTCAGTCAAAAACTACAAATCACAAATCCACTCATTAACCAAATTACCAAAATCAAACACATATCAGACTCTTCAGAGTTGGGTGTCACTCTAGAGGTCACCCAATCTAACCTTCTTCCCAAGGCAGGAATTTATCTTGCTGCAATATCCTGGAGAGTTAGTAAATCTAACTCTTGCACAAAGACAGTCAGCATATTATTCCATTATTGGACAGTTCTGTTTTATGAAATTTTTAATATGAAGCAAAAAGGGGTACTGAGCTTCTGTTAAGGGGATGGAAAAACTTGGAAATGGATAGAGGTAATGGTTACACAGCATGAAAGTAATTAATGTCACTGAATTGTACATGTAAAAAATGTTGAAATGGTATGTTTTTATTTTATATATATGTGTGTGTGTATATATATATATATACACACACACATATATATAAAACATACACTCACCACAATAAAAAATAAATTTTTTGATCATCTTATAAATTCTACCCACTGGTCTTAGTTCTTTGATCTGAAACCACACAAATTATTTTTTCTCTCATGTGAAAGAATTTCAAATCCTTGAAGATAGACTTCATGTACCCAGAAGTCTTCTCTGGTATAATTTTCTCAGTTTCCTTGACAGATCATCACATGTATGGTGTCCTGAAGTAAAAATAGGTTTTACTGAATTGAACCAGGTTCATGACCAAGCAATACATCCTGCCTAAGGTCACAGAATAAGCTATGTAGCATAGACTTGAACCCATATGAGAAAACAGAGGCTGTGAAATGGGTTAACAGAACCTCCTGCACTAGGCTGTTGAGAGGCAAAAGAGAACAAATGTGTGTGAACACCATTTGCAAACAGCATAAAGTTTTACAAAGGCTGGGAAAAATGAATGCTTCAATTCAGCAATATCATTCTTAAATTATGTTCCTAGCCTTGCTGTAACATTCTAGATGAGAAATGAAACTATTTGTCAATTGACACATACACTATACATCTTGTATTGGGGCCAGGGGTTACTTTTTTTTTTAAACACACACATCATACTTCTGGCTTGAATTCAGCTTGTGGTTAATTAATATTCTTAATGTCTCCCTTTCATGATAAATCACTCAACAAACTAGGAACAGGAGGGAGATTCCTAAACATGATAAAGGGCATTTAATAAAAAAACAGAAACAAAAATGCACAGCTAACACCATATTCAATGGAGAAAGACTGAAAGCTTTACCCTAAGATCAGACAAACAAAACAAAGTTGCCTGCTTTCGTAACTGCTGTTCAATATTTTCCTGGAAGTTATTGCCCAAGCAATCAGGCAGGAAAAAGAAATACAAGGTATCCAAATTAGAAAGGAAGAAGTAAAATTATCTCTATTCCCAGATGGCATGATCCTACATATGGAAAATCTCAAAAAAATCCACAAGAAGACTACTAGAGCTAGTAAATAAATTCAGCAAAGCTGCAGGGTTCCAGAGCAACACAAAAAAATCAACTGTTTCTATACATCACCTATGAGCACTCAGAAAAGGAAATTAAGAAAACAATTTTATTTATAATATCTAAAAAAATAAAGTACCCAGGAATAAATTTAACCAGGGAGGTGAAAGATATGTACACTGAAAACTATAAAACGTTGCTGAAAGAAATTAAAGATCAAAACAAGTGGAAAGACATCCTGTGTTCACGTACTAGAAGACGTAATATTGTTAAGATGTCAACACTACCCAAAGCAATCTGTAGATTCAACACATCCCCAATCGAAATTCCAACAGCCTTCATCACAAAAATGGAAAAGACAATCCTCAAATTCATACGGAATTGCAAAGGACTCTGCCAAACCAATCATAAAGAACAAAGTAAGAACACTCAGTTCCAGATTTCAAAATGTACTCACATACCATAAAGCTACACTAATCAGAAGAGTTTGGCACTGCTGTAAGGATAGGCATATAGGGTCGCTATGAGTTGGAATCAACTCGACGGCAACAGGTTATAGACCAACGGAGTGGAATTCAGAGTCCAGAAATACATCTATTGCCAACTGATTTTCAACAAGTGTGCCAAGTCTGCTCAATGGGGAAGAAGAGTCTCTTCAATAAACAGTGCCAGGACAACTGGATCTCCATATGCAAAAGAATGAAGTTGGATTCATACCTCACACCATATACAAATAATAACTCAAAATGGATCAATGACCTAAATACACAAACTAAAATATAAAACTCTTAGAAGAAAACACAGGAATAATAGTTCAGCATCTAGTTTTTGAAAATAGATTCTCCAATATGACACCATACATGAGCAACAAAACACAGATAAAATGAATTTCATCAAATTAAAAACTTTTGTGCACAAAAGGACTTTCATCAAAAAAAGAAGATACAACCTGTAGAATGGGAGAAAATATCTGGGAACCATACATCTGATAAGAAGTTTACTATCCACAATAAATTTAACCCCTACAACTCAAAAAACAACCCAAACAAGAGACAAACAACCCAATTAAAAAATGGGC